GGATTTATGAATTATAAATAAAGCAAGTGAGAGATCCAAAACATCTGGAACTGTTTGAAGAGTAAATACTTGAGCTCAGTCTTGAAGGTTATGGAAAAAATGACAGTGTTTGTGTTGTTTAAAAGAGAGATGGCCTAACTGTGTACTCAGAAGTCTGAATTCGGTTTTCCCTTAACATAAAATCTCGATACCAATAAATAACTTGTGGTGAATGGTCTTTAACTATTGTATATGTTACACCAATATTCCTAATTTGTCTTTGATTTCGTGTTCTTTACTTCTTATAGCTACGTCTCATTTACTTCTACTATAACACTGAATGTGGTTAAGATTTATTTACCACGAAAAATTCTGGATGATCATTTGGGTGAGAAACTCGATTATATTTTCATGAAAGAGCCGTTTAAGCTCTTTAAAAGATTAATAACAGCTTTTTGGGTACATCTTTAACTTCGCTACACTCATTCATCCTGTCGTCTGACAAAGAGCGAGTAATTCTTCTATAGATGAAAAGAAGTATAAAAAAATTGACTTATGGTTGAAAAAGGTACAAAAATGACTGTCGGCTGCAATGCTTGATCACAAACGAATAACAAACAACACTTCTAGAGGTCAGTCATTACTCTGGAACGTTATGACAAATTCATATTAGTCTCTCTTACAAATATTCGGTATACTTAACCTCTCACCATTCACATCAAACCATTCAATTTTGGATAATAGACTGGAACAGTTAAAGATTCCCGATGATAAAAACTTTCATTGGTGGAAATTCAGATAAAATGAATTAAAAACAAACGTAATGGTACCAGGGTAGAAAAACTCTGCTGTAGGTCTAGCAGTTTTTAACAACTGTCTTCCTATTTGCTTTAACTGAAATATACACACATATATTCAATGGCAAACACAGGACTGGTTTCGTGCAAGATTGCTTGCTGCGACGGATGGAGTTAACGTAGTACTTTTAAAATTCCATCCGGTTCGTTTTTGTGAAATTTTTGTTCACCCAATTTTCCATGGTTATTTTCCCCCTCAAAATTTATATCTCGCGTATATAATCCTCTTCAAATGATCTCTCAGTCTACTTCACAGTCTATCGAGTACATGCACACAAGTAGCTTTACCACCAGTTCTTAAAATAACAACTTGTAGGGATCTTAGTTCAAAGATTATTAATGAACTCAGATCGTGACTCGATAGTGAACTTCGGATTAATGTGTCTAAATCGGATCATTTGAACCACACACGCCAACTGGGCGCACAACAAGGAAAACGGGGCAAAAAATAAATAGAAAAAAATGCTTCCTGAAACTCCAATGACGCAGCCGGTTGTTCAAAGCGAATAAAACAATGATAATTATATCGATGGAATGTAAATTATGCAGTGTTCGGGTTCACTGTCGTTGTGACACTGTAGTACCTAGATAGTACCATGGGTTAATGCTGAGTCATCCCTGTCCATGGTTCTGATACATGTTTTCACATTGCATAATAAATGGAACCAAAAACTAACAGCAGCGAAGCAACAGGCTGCACCTAAAATTAACTTACATATCTCTCCAAACAAACATGTTTCGCTCAGCAAACAATCGACCAGATAGGCGTAAAAGGTATCCGCGACCAGAGCTAATACACCGACGAAACTACTGGCCGTTGTAAACTCCTCTGTATCCACTAAAAACTGGGATAAAGGCAAGAAAGAAAGACCGCAACACCAAAGTTTCAAAGATACCACAAAGCAAGGACACGAACGTTAAACAAAACTCCCTAATTTTATTTAATTTCCTAGTTTCGGAGTGTAGGTTACTAGAAAGTAGGGGTGCCTTTGATAAATAACAGTGGGATGAATGCCGCGCAATTCTTGCAATCAGCAATACGCTTAACGAACTATTCCTACTGTTCAAGGGCTAAAATGTCGCAAACGTGAGTGACAAGGTCAAAAGATGAGTGATCAGTGACTCAGAAGACAAGGCTAATTAGGTTGTCCGAAAGGTGTGACAAGTCACGTAGGCCCAACGTATCAGCACACCTACAACACTGGAAAGAACTAAGGCTCTGAAGAAGTGCCCGAAATGACAAAACAAACCATCGAAGGCCTTTATTGTAACGTAAGAAGATTGAGGGATAAGCTGATAAAGATCAGGGCACAGAGAACGGGAGATGAAGTGACGATAACTATCAAGAGCCATATCAAAGCCTTAATACTGCACAGTTCCCAACTAACTGATGAGAAAGAATCGTTCTGATGCTGCTTCAACAGAAATGGCACAAAATATTTGCTGGCCTTCCTCAAGTACTAAGGACCAGATAGATAAGTGACTGATACAATGCAACGACTATCACTCCTTGCGTTTGATTAAATACTCTTAGATGGAGGTTTCAATGCTCTATCTCCTCTAGTGGGAAATCTCTCTGAAAGATTTGGACCGTAGTTCATACTTGGCATTGAGAAACAGATATAATGTCAAGGTTTGAAGCAATGTGAAACACTTCCGGATGAAGCTAGCAGCCAAAATACAAGCAAATCCAAAATATATTTTCAGGTTCATGTCAATAAGGAAAGAACCAGGGTGTTTTCACCCTGAAAGGGCCAAACGGCGTAGATCTTACCAACCTAGAGATGGCTGAGTTCTATAACACAAACTTCATCGGCCAGTAGAGCAAGGTACTTACAAGTTCAGAGTGCAAGTGCCAGCTGACGGCTTAGGGAATATCTGACTTACTTCTGGCTAACACCAGGAAAATTAAAATCCCTGAACCAATGAAAGTCACCAGGATTTGACAACACACTCCCTTTAGTCTTAAAACAGTGTATAGAAACCCTAAGTTCATCGATATGTGACATATTCAGACACTCACTGGAGTCACACAAACTCCCAACTAAATGGAAACAAGCTACTCTCGCTCCAGTCTTTAGAGGAGGAGATAGGAAGGACACTGCCTGTTACAGATTAGTCGCAAGATTATCAGTACTGATGAAGTAAAATAAAACTGGTAGGTGGACAAATGAGGGTCTACATGGATGAAAATAACATCCTCCATGAAGCTCAACACGGGTTTAGGCAAGACAAGTCATGCGCGTCTAAACTTTTGATTGTATGAGACAACTGGACAACCTGCATAGACCGAAAAATACCGGTTCTTATAAAATTCCTTGACAGCCCAGAATCCAAAACTATCGCAACTCTTAACTTTGTACGGAGACGACTTTGTGCAATCATCCTGGAATTGTTCCTAGCACTCACGGACCCACCTTGATGTTCACGTTGTCTCAATCCCTTTCTTGTAAAGTGATATAAACCTCTTAGACAGATTGAAGAGGTAGGCAACTAAATGGGTGATAGGGTTGAATACTAAACCTTCCGAGGATAAACTCCAAAACTTTGAACTATCCTCGTAGGGGAGTAGGAGAATCACGGCTATACTGACAATGGCCTACAACATATTATGCACGCCAAATCACCCCGACATAAGCATCATGCTAAAGCATCACCACCACACCCATTGAGGTAATTCTCGAAAAAGTGTGTATCGAAGAGCGAACACCCGGGAAGGTGCCTACGTCTTATCATTAAGAGTTGTCCCAATGAGGAATCCTTTCTCAACTGAAGTAACCACAACCCCCCCCAAATAAGGTAGCTTAATAAAAGACATGATAAACACGTACTCACGTGCGGATTATCGTGCCCTCTTGGACCTGCTGTGTCTGATGCATGTCTCGAAACTTGCTACTGTTATTAATGCTATTTCGTCTGATCATTAACTTATTCTACCCTGCTTATTTTCTTTGTTTCCCCTTCTTTGCTAACACTCATGTCCTCTCATACAATCTTTACTACCAATTGATTAACTTACTTACTTAATTACAGAGTTGTAGTGAGATTGAAACTACTAGTCGCGAGACTACCGGAAATCAGAAGGAAGACTATGACTGGATGACGAGGCGTAGTGATTCGTGGTCTCGTGATATCGAAATGATATCAAGACCGGAATAAAGAAGCAACTAACAACCACCGAGGAGAAACGCGGAATGGGAGTAACACGCGAGTTATGGGCTTTAGTACAGCAGAACAGTTATAGTTATTATTGTTGACAATAATGTTTTCATTTCAGCAATTGTATTCTCTTCGTAAAAGTATACCACTAAAGAGTTATGAAAATTTCCTCATTACCATGAGAATTTTCCTATTATTATTCTCCATACTGCAACAGGCTGGTGTCCGTCCTGCTGATATGATAGCTGATGGAATCCAGAAACCTGACTGCCTCGAGTTGAACGCACTCATGAAAATTACGAGACTTGATAATCGCGTACTCACATACGGATTATCATCTCCCTCTTGAACAAGCTGTTCATGATTCATATCTTGAGACCTGCTAGTTTTTATCATTGCCATCTCCTCAGATCACTTACCTAATCTATCTCGCCAATTTCCTCTGTTTCTTCTCCCTCGCTTACACTACGGTCCTCTCTCACAATCTTCACTACCAATTAATATACTAAGTCAAATTTATATTACTTAGTTCTGAAATTTTGGTCATATCAGCATTAGAATTTTATCCTTATTATCCTGATTATTCTCCACACTGTAACTTACTGATATCCTGTTTGGTAATGTGATAGCTGCTGGTATCCAGAAACTCTACTACCCTGAAACAAACGTTTTCATTCAAATTCCGAGACATACAAACTCACAAACAACTGTCAACTGACTAGAATTAGACAGTCGAGTGGCTAGACCAGCATTCATTGTACATAACCAAACACTTGGAACTGTACCGAAAGGACAAGAAGCGAGCGCAAAGGAGTCGATTGGCTTATACTAGGTCGTGGAGCAGATATTGGATATTGGGACATACAAATTCATATACAACTGCCAACTGACTAGAATCGTTGCAGTCGAGCGGCTAGACTACCATATACTAAACAGTACCTAATACATGAAGCCGTGCCGAAGGACAAGAAGCAATTGGTTTATACCAGTTAGTGAATAAGTATTGGATTTTGGACATACAGGCGTGTTTTTGAGCGATGCGTTTCTGTCCTCTTGGGTTTTTTAATTCCAATAGATGTTGTATTTTATCTGGCCTTAAATACAATGGAAAGCCTCATTTTCTTATAAAATGTAGAGAAATAAATGCCAAAAGTGATTTCCATTTAGCGGAAACAACCAAGCAGTCTTTAGTTTACGAGAGTCCACATCGTAGACTTGTTCTAGGCGCTAAGACATTTTCAATGGTGTCCAGTTCACTTGTTCTTTTATCACAACCCTTTTTATTTTTCCAAATTCCTGACCCAAAAGTATTCTGTGTCGCTCTTTTTGGTGGCATGCTGTTTTCTCTTTCCACCCCGCTCTTGCTGCACTTTTTGACAAGCAGTCATGTTACAGAACTATACTATGACAAGAAAAACAACAAATTTACTGCTTTCCTGAAGGGAATATTTCTCAACACCAAGAAGTTGGAGTTTACTGCCGAGGATGTCAAATACATCGAACCGACCTTCACTATGGCAAGCATTATGGCCAAAGGTGTACCGTTATTTGTTTCAGAAGATCACTTCAAAGATATTGAAGTTTATAAACAATTAGTGCGATTTAATGAGCCAGTAGATGTAAAGAAATTTGAATAAAATCTTTCTAGTTATATTCCACCTTTTGGTCTCTTGTTAGATATACTGGTTATTCCTCGCTGCCTGTTGATTTCCTACCCCTATGCATAGGGAGACAGAAACGTCATACGTAGATATTTAATATTGTGATGATTTGGGCCTTTAACGAGCGATTTCTTTCAGATGCTCTAAAGATTAGTAGTTGCTCTGATCCTCTGAATATCTGTCATGAAATTCAGTAATTTTTTGCAATATAGATGTTCAGTATTTGGCTTGACCTATAGTTCACTCGAGAACTAAACTCATTAAAAAGCGTTTCTTCAAGGTGGTCAAATCAAATACTCTCATCATAGAGACTTATGCAGGTGTTTTAAATTTTTAGGTTGGTTCAGATAGGTCGTGCTAACAGTTTTGACATAGATACTAGGTATGTTGCTAATGTTTTTACTACTCCCTGTTTAATAACGACATTGTGTTCTTATTTCAGCTAACAGATTTTTAATAATCCCATAGCTGTTGAGTGGTTGGCATTCAGACGGTTAGTAGATTACAATATCATTGGATATAAGTTGCAAGGATAGCTTTCTGTCTGCTCTTTTCCGTTCCACGCTTAAACTTAGTTCATATATTTAGATCGAAGGACTTTCATTGCATATAGATGTGGTAATCGCGTCGATGCTAAAACTGATGATGTATCTTTTTATATAGTATATTTACATATGTATCAAATGACCCCATATTTGTCACCATATTAATTGGACCTGCCTTTTTAAAAGATAAACCTCTATTGTCTTTCAGTGCTCATGTTGGACTGTTCTTTCTGATGGAATTATGTACAACTATGGTTACACGTTTATTGTTTCGCCGTTGCCAATTAGTTTCACAAGTTTTAACTCGGTTGAATTATAGTAATCCTCTCGGCTCTACAAATATAAAAAAGAGAGCACCTGGACATACGGTAAGAATGTTTTACTCATTAGACATATAGTTATAACAAAAGTTATTAAACAGCGAGTCATATTCAGTGTGGTAATGACGCTTCTCAACCTGTAAAATCTAGAGAATATTCTTGCCTAGGGTTTAGACACGTATAATTTGTAGCTAATTGCTATCTTCGAAACATTAGTGCCTGTTTTTAGACAAATTTTCGGAAACAGAAGCTAGTGTTTGCCCTATTCAAGATATTTCTAAATATGTGATTCTTATAACAAAGATAATTATACCTCTTTCTACGAGAATAATTCGAAAATTTGAACTGTAGTCTTGTGGTTCTCATTGTTCTGTTTTCACCTATGGCAATCAGATCAGTTAACATACGATTTTCTTATAAATTTGCAGCATCAATGGACTATAATGTATTGTTTTTTTATTCTTAACTAATTTCTTAGTTTCTGAATGTAATTGATAACAAACTGTACAGTTTCGGAAGTTTAAAAGTATGTTTTACAATAGACAGCATTTCTGCTTTTTTCTTCACACACGCCAACCTCTGGTACGTTGACACAGTAGTTGGAACCGCTCCTCCTATACTCACCAAGAAACTTGCTCTTTGTAACCACACATCCCAAGAAGGTTTGCTAAAAATCAGTGATGTTAAAAGCACCCAATGTTCTCTTGAATGCCATCTAAATTATGGTTAATATCAGTTTAAAAGTTTGGTACTAATCAGCAGTAACTGACAGTTATAGTATTCTTGGTTCATAAAGTTAAGTGGCTCATGAGACTGACCCAAAACACCAGTTTATATACGATTTCAACAAGGAAAGCTGGAAAATTGATAAAAGTTTAGACCAATCTGTAGTCGTTTATGTAGAACTTACTGTAACCTGATTGACATATAGCTACCTGCCCTCCAGTTTTTAAAAAATTAACAACGTTGTGACAGATCGCAAAGATAAAGTGACAAAGTATGGCCGTTTGTTTTCAACTGTTTTCAACGACGGAAATCAAAAATAACTAGTTAGAATAAATTTTTGGTTGTCTTAAAAATTTGTGACTGGTCAGCTGTCCAATCGTTTTTCATACGTATCCAAATAATTAGAGTTCGCTTACAGTTATCACTGAAGTCAGTTTAGTAAACACTCTAAAATCTCCAAACACCCACTTGATACGCAACACAAACTGAGTAAAAAAATCTCTGAAAACTTACAGGAATGCATCTAATGAATTTGGACTATCATTATGTTTGTGACGTATAAAGTTCTACTGATGGCCTATACTTACGGTTTCAATTAATCTAGAAATTAGAGATTAACACCGTTGGCTTAGGATTTCACGGATACACCTGACTTTAAATTTTCGGTTCCAAACTTGTGGTGGAAATAGAATTTCGGAATTCGGGTTGAATAAGTTGCTAATACGTCTGCAATGGCCATTAGCTGTCATGAAAATATGACTTAACATTATTCTCTTTCTTTATAAATTAAACTTATTGTCATAGGTCTACACATAACATATATTTGCTTTGAACGGAGAATATGTTAATATGTTAAACCTATCTTACATAATGTACAGATTACCATAAGTGGAGTTGCGTGCGCCTAACATTACACTAGTTTGAACTAAATTTAATGTTAGAGCTCTATACTTTTAAAAGTCTATATGTCATAGAAAAGGAGGGTAACACTTTTAGTAGCTTCGGAAAATGTTCAATTTGGTGCTTATCGTGCTTTACTCGAGAAGATTTTACATACATGAAAACCTGGAATTTGCAGTTGTATGTGACAACTATCGCAAGGTGGTCTTGTAGATGCATACTACCTGGTTGTAGTTCGCGCTATAACATGCATAACCCTTTCTAGATGTTGAGTAATATGACAAAAATGCATTCATTTTATTATCATTTAAAATCTTAATTTTAGGATTATTTTATATTTTTTTCGTGACTTTTTAACTATCACTAGTACTTTTATTACTTTATTCATCGTCGTGTGCTCATATGATCTGCACAGGATCCACATATACCAGCAATACTAATTATTAAAAACAGGATAATTTAATTACTTACTATACATATATTAAACAGTTCTTAACTATTTTCAGTGCTTTGCTTTTATTTCTTAGTTGTTCTTTTAAAGATTGCTACTTAATTTACATAATTTGATTACACATTCGGCCTATAATCATCGGTAAATTATAGTATTAACAACAAAAGACTACTTATCATAGAGTAGATTGAGTTAAAATATACTTCTTATTGCATTGATACTTTTTCTTACTACTATAAAATCTATAGCTCCAACCTTTTGTGTGCAGTAAACGAGTTGTTGTAAAAGCAGGTAATGGCGGCGATGGATGTATTGCGTTTCGACATGTTTTTTGTAATCCACATAGTGGTCCTAGCGGTGGGGACGGTGGAAATGGAGCTCATGTAATTTTCAAAGGTGAGTAATTGGTTTATTACTTGTTCCTCTCTTGGGGCTTAAGGCGCCGACTAGGAACCTGCAAACAACTCTGTTCTGGTTTCTGGTTGTTGCTAAGTGCTACTCATTCTTTCCGATATTTATTTCTAAATCCCCGTGCCATTTGTTCTTTGGTCTGCCTCTTTTCTTTTCACCTTAAGGGTTTCGTGTTAGGTGCATTCCAGTGGTTTCTGAAATTTATGTACTTTCCTAATTTCCTCCTCATCCGACTTGTTCTGTCACAGTCGATTATCGCTGGTGGTCTCTGGCCAATTAACCGAAATTATCTCATATAGACATCTGTTTATACACATCCTTACTTTCTTGATAGTAGATATAGTAGTCCTTCAAGTTTCCACTTCGTTCAATATAACTATCTTATCGTTTGTATTGGAAATTTTGACTTTGGCGTCGGTTGATAGTTTTTTTGAGTTCCAAATGTTCCCCGACTGTAGGAGCGCTACAACTGCTTTTCCTTTCTAGTTTTACTTGATAACAGTAAAACAGTTTTACAAATCAACGTTCTCAGAGAAAAATAGATCATGGAATTGGATGTTGGGACTTTCTATCTTGTTATATATATTAATTTGACAGACTCTTTGTTAACAAAATAAAATGTAAGTTAAAAAGCAATTTGATGAGGTTATCAGCCTCTTCAGGCAATATATGTAAGCATGAACTTCTCCTAATTAGTGTGCTGTTACAAGTGAGGATAACTTGAGTTCATCATTTCGGACTATGTGAATGACATGTTTTCACTAAGCGGAATTACATCAGCATACGGAATATAGTTGATAATTTCATTCTTAAAATGGCCTCTGTCACAATTTCCAGCTTCACGTTTCTCATCTATTTAAATTACATAATTATGTTTACCCTAGTATTGTATCAATGTTTGACAATACAACCCTAAAAGATTGATCATTTTCGAATAATTTTTTTTGAAATAACTAATGTCCTTTAAGTTAAAGTTACTGTTGCTAGTGTCATCGCGTAGGGAAGCTGAATAATAGTAATTAGTTTCAAATTTTATGCATAGAATTATTATGATCTGATCATTAGATACCTAAAAAATTATGAAATTTCTTATTTATTTTAGCATTCTATTTTTGTTTGTTATGATGTGCCCATTTTACGAATATCATTAGTGAGACTTTAACTATTCGTGTGATCAATGTTTTGTTTGAATGCGAGCAATAAAAGTAATCCTCATTGTACCGAATTGTTGTAAACTGGAAATCGCATGGTGTACTGAACAAGTACTATAGAATACTGGCATTATTACTATTCAGATTGAAACTGCCTGAATTACTCCTTTGATATTTTTCTCTGAAATCTGATCAGTCTTGGTTGTTATACAGGCATCCACTGGGGATTACCCTAATGTAGCCATGATGGCACAAGCTTACATAGAATAAACGGGATGTACAATTCAGCATGTGCGTTACGTTTTATTTGGAGCTCATCTGTACCTGAATGTACCTGCATCTCAGAGTCGATATTGCACAAGTGAGTAGCAATCTGGACTCAGTTGCTAGGTAGATGACTTGGTAGCATTTGGAGCGGATCGTACTGAATTCAAGTTCCAAAGTGTACATCAGCTCTGAGATGCAGGTACATCCAGATACTCATTGGTATGAAAAGTGATACGTATATATATATATATATATATATATATATATGAAACTTAATAATCGCTTACTAGAAATCATTACCAATTTCCTAAGACAAATGATTCTTTATTATTTATAGTTATCTCTGACATATTCATACAAGTTGGTTTTTATTTTTTACAGCCAATAAAAATGTATCTGATTTATCCAATATACCCACCGTTGCACAAGGTGATAATGGTGTAAATGGTTCTATTGACGATTGTCATGGAGCAAATGCCAATCATTTATATCTACAGGTAAATGAATACACATATCGATTCATTTTTTGATGTCAATATCTTGTTGTTGTAACCAAATACATTGGGGACAAAAGAATGATCACATATAAATTAACTGAGATATTTATACATGTAGTCGCACCTATGACGATTGAAGCGTTTACCTTTCAACCACCAAGTCAAATGTCACTACACCTACTTCGGTGTGATAAACCAGGTAATTTCGTCACTGCTTACATTTAAAGTGAACTGGAAGCCAAGTTCACTAATCCGCGCCTGATCAGTGAGCTGAATTAATTTTATAAAAAAACTGATGAATTCCACTTTACAAACATTTATCAACTGTGCTCTTATGAAAAAGAATAAAGTTGCACAACTGCAATGTTTTCTTCTTTCTTGACAATGTCTTTCCCCTTTAGAAAAAATATACCAATCAGTAATTGGCTATTTTGGTAGGTTTTCAAAAACCTGACTACACTGTAAGATTTATGATCTTTTTCGACTAATTTATATAAATTGAATAGTGTTATTTGTGAAAGTAGGATCGGAAATAATTCCAACGATTGAAGTTGTAGATAATTCCCGCGTTTTGTCCATCTATCTTCCCTGGACTTCAGGGTACTAATAATTAATCAAAAAGTATGATGGCTAAATAAAACGTTGGAATTATCTGAAAATTTCAATTGCTGAAATAATTTACAATACAATTTTCACAAATGATGTAATCGGCACCTATTCGTTCAAATATTGATAAATATTTTTATATTTTCATGCATCATTTATTAGGTTCCATTAGGTACACAAATTTATTCTGTTGAATGTTCAAGTCAAATATCAAATAATAATAATAATAATAATCATACTAATAATGATAATCGATCTATTCAATTAATTAAAACACTAAACACAGATGGTGAGATATTTTTAGCTGCACGTGGTGGTGCCGGTGGTAAAGGCAATGCATTTATGACTTATGCAACATTAGCAACGGATTCATTGAAGTTACCTAGTCGTAAAAATACTCCATTACGTATTGCTGAACATGGTGGTAAAGGTCAATTGTGTGAATTCATTCTAAGAATGTCAAAACTTGCCGATCTAGGCTTAGTAGGATGTCCTAATGCAGGCAAATCTACATTATTACGAAGTTTAACAAGAGCCAGACCTAAAATTGCACCATATCCATTTACTACACTACGACCACATATTGGAATGTTACATTTTCCAGAAAATTATGATTCATCAAAAAATAATAATGATGATGATGATGATAATCATACTTTTGATGTATCAAATCAAGTTCATTCTATAGCTAGTAAGTTTTATATACATGGATACATTTCATATAGTTTATTATTGCCTTTCATTTTTTTTTTAATACCTTTGATGTTTTTTTCTCATTATAGTCTATTTAGTGTAACTGAAATAAGAAAAATTTCCATTTACCTATAGGGCAAATGTCAAGAATGAATAAGTTTTATTATAGCATAAAAATCACATTAGAAATACTTTTGCATAATATTCAGAACATAAATATAATGTAGTGAACGAGAATGCAGGTGGGGCAACCGGATTGTATTTAACGAAAATTACAGTGTTACTCAGTAAAATAGGAAAACCATATCGTAAATCGTTAATTTGCAAAATATCGGTTCATCATATCGAACTGGACTGTTCCTGTTGCAAAACATCAATCCATTGTCACTATTCATGCGTTTCATACAAATTCCATTGTTTTCTAACTCTTCCTTTCTTGATCTTCTCCCATCTGCTGCTGCCAGACATTAAGTTGACACTCACGTCATATACTACTTATAAGTAGCTCGCATCACAATATAATAGACAAATATGTATTGAATTAAGTCTCTACACAATTCAGTTTAACATTTCTATACAAGATAAACAAGGAATGGAATTCTTCATTATATCACACAGAGGTAAACTAGACTTTGAAACTATACCTTTTTAAACAAATGAATAAAAAAAAATTTGCTTGCCAAAAAGTAATACCTCCACTGTTGAGATTATTGTGACACTACAATATAATTTTTATAAAATAGTTATTGATAACGGTTATTTTTGGTAAATTTTTTTTCAAAATAAATGCGTATAACTTAAGAATCCTTTTTGAGAATGAATTGTATTTTGACACACAATGTGTAATACAGTTTCTTCTTCGCCTGCCTACGTCTTCTTTCTTTACAAGAGAACAAAAATGTAGGCGATACCTTCGAATGGGACCTTTTTCAACGTTCAATGTTGTTTAGCATTTATAGCATGAACATGAATTTTTGTTTCTTACCAGTTAATTGATTGAAGTTCTTTTACATTTTTCATGTATCTTAAGTATTGGAGATAAGCAAATCTGTTACTTGATTTAAGTCGTACAATTACTTATTTATCACCTCAATAAAGTTTCCAAAATACCTTTTTGGGTAATTTCCACTTTTGCTTCTGTATTAACGATCATACACGAAATGGGACTCAGGAATTTTAGTTTTTTCAGTGAGTACGATACCACAAAACTCTGTGAATCATCATTTAGTGTTCAGTTGTTTTAACGTAAATCTAGTTTTCAATTACTCTAAAGATAACAGTTTGTTGACTGGACTTTGAGAAATTCATCTTGAAATTATTTTTTTAGTAAGGAATATTTTTGTTCATTTAGCTAATTTCAGAAAGATTTTCTGTGCATATTTTAAATAGAATTTTCATTGCTTCACAATAATAGGCCATTTCTAATTGATATTTGACTCTGTTCATTTGATACTTAACAGTAATTATTTTATTAATATATACATTTATTAACTCTAATTTTCAGTTGCTGATCTTCCAGGTCTTATTGACGGTGCAGCTGAATATAATAAAGGCTTAGGAATTGAATTTTTAAGTTTAGTCGCTGATTGTTCCATACTAGTTTATGTCATTGATTATGGAACATTATGGTGTAATTATGGTTTGAATCGATTAAATGAAATCGAAGATGAACTAATTAATCAGTTATCAATGCTTTATTATGAAGTGACCACTTATGATAGAAATCTTGGTAATCAGGATAAGTGTATTGTATTGGGAAGTAAATTAGATTTAATTTTCACAAATAAAATAGATTCAAGTGAATCAAATGTTGATAATACAGAGAACAATGTTAAACTTTTGCAAACATTGCATCATCTATTGTATAAAGCTGCTTGTTCAGTTTCTATCATCAGGGATACACCAGACAGTATTGACCAAGTAATGCTTGTCTCAGCTAAACGGGGTGATAATATCCCACATTTGGCATGCAAACTTCGTGACTGTGTACAGAATTTGAGAACAGATAAAAAAACTAACTTTTCTCCTGTATAATCATATCTTTACAAATATTTTTTGATGAATTGATGGCTATCTGATATTTCTCTATACAAATACTGATGTATGTGAATGACTAATGATCTTATTCGGAGATATTTCCAAATTTTGTATTTTATTTACTATTAATAGCCAAAATTTCACTGAAATGCTTTCACTTTAAATTCGGATGGTCGTATATTCAATCCAGATATACTAGTGCCTGATCGAACACTCCTAATATACTTTAAAGCCTACAAATATTAACTTCTTTGTTCAACTTATTCAGGATCAGTCATCAATGGTGCTTAAGATTTACAGTTTAATCCAGCTCGCAGCAGGTCGTTCAAGTATGACTCTTGTCATGTAAAAGTGATCAGCGAACTTCCAGAACCAATTTTTTACACATCATTGGTGTGAAAAGATCTAGTCTCTCTTCAGTAAAATATGAGTGACTGTGCTTCTGGTGTTCAACTTATGAGCAGTTAACCTGAAACTTATCACTGCTATTGGTGGAAGGGAATTCGATTATAAGCTAGTAGCATTATAGGTTATAGTATACACTTAGATACCAATTAGAAGCCTCGCCATATTCATCCGTCACCTGTTACATCATTTCCGGGTTCTGGCTTATGTGCATAGGCGAAAGAACATTGGGTATGCTCATACTTTTAACCAGTGTTCAGAACTAAGCTGGAACTTTCATATGTAATCCCCAGTTTCCCGCGTCACAAAACCACTCTCTTTTAGGTAACATTGGCAAGCTCCTAATTAGTGGGTAATAACAAACAGTGAATCTAGTGGTATGTTCCGATTCGGCGTTACTTGACTCTAAAGTAAATAATGTTAATACTAGCTAATTGCTTACAACATCTAAACGATACTGAAATGTAGTGCAGTACATAGTTCCTAACGTTTCATAAATAAGGCGATACAATGTTTTAATGTCATGTACACGCACGTCATCTGTTGTCACAACAAAGCGACAAATCCACAGCATTTAGTTCTAGCATGTATTGCTATTCTGTAGAACCATCCACTATAACCTTTGAGTTATCCTTACAAGTTTGAAGAAAATTAATGGATAGATCAGGTCAACGATCATATCGTGCGGTTTCGGTCGTCATATTTGAACTGTCTCTCAATCAACGGTAAGGTGATGCTGGAATGTATAACTTCTCGGCCTTATCACTTGAAAGTTAGTTTAAGCATCAGATTAGGGTCGGTTTTCGTTCGAAACATTTGGGTCATACTATGAATATCAAGGTGAACATATTCCTACATTTATAAACGTCTTGACTCCGATTTTTGTTACCCACGGGAGGTGGTGGGTCATGTTCTTTAGGTCATGGCTTACTGGGGCCTTTACATCGTTGTGAAGTAGGACTGACAGGTTGGATGTTCCGTCAGTTGTGTGGTTAGTTCAATCCACCTATCCACTGACCATGAGATATTAAAATTTATCTATAAACAATAAACACCTTTAAGGAAAGTTTAGAAATGTCTTATTTTAGGTAAGTGTTAGATAATTCCTAGGCTTCTCAAGTTTAATCAAAGTTCGGTTCATTGAAATCTATCGAGTCCTTTGATTACTTGCTTTCTCTGTTATCTACCGATCCTTTTCTCAATATAATCAGTAGGCCTAATGTTGAAGAAAAACTATTTTCGAGTTCGTAGTGTGCATACTTAAGTAAGCAGTTAATCTGCAAAACGACTTTCATGTTTTCCTCGACGATTTTTACAGAAGACTGAAAATCGCTCCCGTCAGGCTAATCGTTGTTGTCCAATATTTGTTTTTAAGTATAATCAACTATGATTTGTTCCAGTTCTTCGGTAACTTACAGTGTGTATCTTCTTAAATATAATTTCTGAGAAGCAGCCATCTGCATTTGATTGTCGCCAAGGACAGAACTATGAGTCATGAGATTCTGTTAACTTTTTGAGTTTACAGAAGGTAGTGTTGCAACTGACTTGGTTATCCCATACAGTAAATAAACTGAAATCGATTCCTTGAGGAGAGGCATTTTGTGAGTGTAGGCATCGGATTACAGCTCAACTGAATTCAGATAAGCGCTGAAAACCAAGGAGCGTTGGACAACTATTCCGTCCTACAGAGACGACATCATCAAAGATTAAATAAAGTATCGGCAGGCCTACAGAACACACTGAACCACAAGACCACTGGGTTATTATCCAGTAGTTCACATGTCCAATTCGTTTGCGATATTGCTTTATTGACGATGCCTATCACACAGAATTGCTAAATCCGACTGGTTATAGCTTAAGGATCATTAAATCCGTTTCTTATGATGTGTAAATGTTCATCCAAGTGGTTCGTTAATAAAGGAGTTTATTTATTCTTGTGAAGAATACGTGGCTGAACACTATGAATCATCTACACAATGTAACTTTGAATGTTGGATGATATGACCAAACATGGAGAAATTTGTTCAGTATGTAGTGGTTCGAGTCGAAGTTGACTATGAACACTAATACAAACCAAATACGTTCTGGCCTTTACTCATTATCCCGTTGTGAACCAAAAACAAGTAAGACGAGATAGTCCAGATAGAGAAGTATATTTGCTGGTGATTTCGTGGCATCGAAAGAATACCGAAATCGTGCCAGAGAAAATGGGCGAAAACGTTCAGAGCATCAAAAGCGAGATGACTCCCGCGCAACAGGAAAGCGTGTTGTACAAAAGTGCGAATAAACGAGAAGTTCTGCAAAACAACCACTGATAAAATTGGTTAAGTTAACGGGTGTTTCCATTTAACCGTTTTCGTCGGTCAAGCGGAATCGCTACAGGTATAAGGTGATACAATATGTTTAAGCACTTTCTTTCTCTTCCTTGGCATTCCGTAATATAGTGTTTATCTTCGTACTTACTGTGATGTGCTATAGCATTTACTATTTATGCATAATGCACTTGATCTTGAAGTCATTAACAGGCTTTCATAAATAATATTTCGTTTAACTGTAGTGAATGGCTGTAACAAAACTTTCAAAACACAATGTACATCATTTGACTGACTTCGTCTTTTTGAGTGAGAACCAGAACATTTATAGGGAGTTGACGTAAGTATACACCGCGGGAGTACTAAGTTAAATCCTGATATTCCAGAAGTCAAAGAAAATACTGTTTTGGAAGTAGAAGTATATTTATCGCTGGCCTTGTGACACCGAAATAATATCGAGACAAGAAAACAGGGGCGGCTCACAACCACCCAGGAGAGTAGCGGAATGGAAATAGCACGCTTAACACTCGAGAGATAGTCTTTTGTTCAGATAACCAAGGGAGTACAATAAAACAATTATTGTCGGAATTAAGTACAATAATAAATGTTTATGTTTCAGCAATTGTGTTATCTTCTTAAAAGTATACCACTACAAATTTATGGAATAAGGATGCTAGGAGTATCATTAAACAAGTTCTCTGATACGCCGGTCAACATCTGGCGTTACTTGAGATTCCTTTGCGAGTAAAGGAGCAAATGTGTTGCTTCACTTTTAAGTGAAGCTGGTTAGAAAATCTCTTGTTAAAGTCGATTGCTCTCGAGTATCTGTTGTTGCTTGAACATGATTGAATTTTGTTGAGAAAACAGACATCAGAGATAGAAATATTTGAAACCATTAATAAAACTTTGATCTTACCGGCAAAATTTAAGACTTATTTATTTATTTATCATTTGATGTAACTATGCTGGTGAATCTAGTAGTCAAGATGACCATCAGACATCTGTGAACTGGTTTTGTTACACATAGGCTGTGCTAGTCCGTTTCAGACTATTCAAACTGCCTATTAGTACGGCAGGCAAGACTGAGATCAAAATAGATCTGGACGCAATAACCACAAATCATATGATAAGGGATAGTTATAATTGTCTTCAAAAGTTCACTTGAGTGAAGACTTGTAGGATCCGGTTTCTTAAATATTTGACGAAGTTGGCTTGTCAGGCATGACACTCGTCCGAAACGATAGGGTACACCGAACAGGAGGCGGAGTGGCTATATATCTAAACAGCCACTTAGAAGCCGAGCAGCTTTACGACAACCAACTAACTGAGGTGACAGAATCATGTTGGTTTTGTTTCCGCACAAATGGCATGAAATACTTGGTTGGAGGGATTTACCGACCAACCTCGGGTACCAAGGCCCAGAAAAACAAACTGACTGATGTAATACCGCAACTGCCACCCCTGATCAAACACTCTTGGCTGGAGATTTGGATAACCCATCTCTACATCTCAGCAATCAGAGTAGCCATTAGAAGCTCTGGGCTGACTGAGCACGTATGTTGAAATTGGACTGGACAAGGCGTGTTCCTGACTCCTACTGTTTCCGAAATCAAAGTTCACTGAAGTGAAGGTTTCTACTGAAGGAAATTCCCCAAATCTGGATTATCTGTTAACGAATGACCAGCTCCTGGCTGAGGACGTTTACGTGCCTACACCGATAGGTAGTAGTGACCATGGCTTAGTCTGTTTTGAAGTGGTCGTAAACGAAACACACACAGGACGAAAACGAGCCCTATCTTTGCTACACTGGGGCAAATTATACGCGTATAAGAGAGGTACTCCTACATGCACCATGGCCACGGGAGTGGTGGAGGCTGGCAGTAGATGATCACTGGAAAACAGTTATAGATATCATCCAAAGCGCTGTAGTAGACAATGTACCTCAGTAACACCACACACCTGGGAATAGAAGAACATGGGTTATTCGCGGAACTGCACGCTTGCGACAGGCGAAGAGGAGAACCTGGAACAAATGGAAGGTCTTCTCGAAGGATTCCGATCGCAGTTATTACTTGGCATTCAGAAACAGATGCAATGCCAAAGTTCGAAGTGATAGGAGACAATTTCAAATGAAGCCAGCTGCTAAAATACAGGAAATCTCGAAGCATCTGTTTAGGTTCATGTCAAAAAGAAAACCTACTAATCAATGGTTGTGTTCTATCAAAGGACCGAAGGAGGAAGACCTCACCAACCTAGAGATGGTCGAGATCTTCAACACTAACGTTACTGATCAGTCAAACCAGGCACCCACATATTAAGAGTACTACGCAAACCTAGTGTCAGGTGACGGCTTAGGAAACATCCGTATCCCTCCATTCTTAGTACTAAGGAAACTAAAATCCTTACGGCCAGATAAGTCACCAGGTTGTGACAAAATTCACCTCATAGTCTTGAAACAATGTGCAGAAGTCCTCTGTTCACTGACGTGTAACCTGTTCAGGGATTCACTGAAGTCGCACC